TGCGGCGAGTTTTCCTTCACGGAAATCTTTATGATTCCTTCTTAGGACGAGGCTGCCTACTTGGAATTCTCACGTATAACTTTGTCATTGTGCCTGATCGCAATTTTTTGTTTTAGCGAGGCCTCGCGGAGGACTGCTCTTGATCGAACCTCTTCGACGAGATCGAGCTCCTCCCTTATGCCTCGTTGTTTGTTTCCTCGTTCAGGGGCGCTTCAATCCGCTTGGAGGGCACATGAGTTTCAATGGGGATCACCGCCTCAGTCCCGTATGTCAGGCGAAAAGGGGTTTCGCTGGTTGAAGAATGAGGCGTAGTACGGTAGGCCCAGAGCACGTTGTGCCACTCCTTGACCCACTATTTCTTTGTTACATCTAGTCTCTGTTTGAGGCTCTTTAGGATTACCCCGTTTGCTGCCTCGACTTTCCCGTTAGTCTGGGGGTGCTCGACGAGCATAAAGTGTCTTCTGGTGCCCAGTTGGGCGACGAACTCCTGGAATTTTTTGTCCGTGAATTGTGTAATGTTATGGTGACGATCGCTTGGGGGATGCCGAAGCGGGAAAGAATGTTTCGCTTGTAGAAACAAAGTATATTATAAGCCATTATTTTGGCTAGAGCCTCTGCTTCTATCCACTTGGTGAAGTAGTCAACGCCTACTATCAGGTACTTGTTCTGATTTGACCCTACGATGAATGGTCCAGGATATCCAGGCCCCTAAAATACGAAGGGTCATGCGAAGGATATTGCTTTGAGTTCATTGGGCGGTGCCAAGTGCATGTTCCCGTGCTGTTGGCATTTTTTGCATCTCTTCACATGTTCCTTCGTGTCATGCTGCATGGTTGGCCAATAATATCCTGCACGTAAAGCCTTCCTGGAGAGGGATCTTCCCCCGAGGTGTTAGGCATTGATTCCCTCGTGGATATCATGTAGGACATAGGCGACCATCTCTTCCTCGACACATTTGATGAGAGGTATGGAAAACTCTTGCCTCTAAAGCTTGCTTTCGACCAAGACGTAAGAGTAGGCTCTACGCCTGACTATGCTGGCTTCCTTGGGGTCGGACGATAGTTCTTCCTTGGCGAGGTAATTGTATACGGGGGTCATCCAGAAATGACTATCGCCAACGACGTGCACGTCGAGGCTCACGGAAGCTTTCTCGATGTTGGGTCGTGGAAGCACTTCCTAGATGACAGATTTGTTCCCTCATTTCTTCTTCGTGCTTGCCAGTTTTAACAAAACATCCGCCAGGACATTGTGTTCGCGGGGAACATGTCTTACCTCCACTAATGTGAACTTTGTCATCTTTTCCTTAACCAGGGTCAAGTACCCAGACATATTGTCATTCTTGACCTGGTATTTTCCCCGAACTTGGAGGGCCACGAGTTGAGAATCAGTGCAGGTGGCGACTTCTTCAGCCCCTAGGTCTCCGGCGAGGTGTAGACCTGTGAGGAAGACTTCGTATTCGGCCTGGTTGTTGGAATTAGGGAAAGAAAATGCAAGCGATACTTCGATGAGGATTTCTTTCTCATTTTCCAAGATAACACATTCCCATCTCCCTGCCTAGCTAGATGCTCCGTCGACGAAGATAGTCCATTTGCGAGCACCGCAAGAGGGGGAATCAAACAGGGTCGTCTATACGACGAAGTCGACCAGTGCCTGGGCATTGAGGGCCTTTCTTCTCTCATACTGGATGTCGAACTCGAATAGTTCCAGTGACCATTTAAGCATCCTGTCGGCCATGTCTCGACGACCCAACAGCTGCTATACGGGTTGGTCTGTGCGTACCACGATTGTGTGGGCCAGAAAGTAGTGCCTCAGCCTTCTTGCATCATTGATAAGGGTAAGGGCCAGTTTCTCTATCTGCTGGTACCTCAGCTCTGGTCCTTGCAATGCCTTACTCGTGAAGTAGATGTGCTTCTTTCCATCGAGTGTTTCATAGGTAAGGGCGACGCTGACGGCCTCGGTCGCAACGGCGAGTTGGAGATATAGGGTTTCACCATTATCTGGACAGGAGAGGACCGACGGTTCCGACAGAGCTTGTTTCAGGTGGATGAGGGATTTGTCTCATTCCTCTGCACATTCAAAAGTCGCCTCCTTGTGAAGGAGTTTGAAGAAGGGGAGGGTGTGTTGATCAGATTTAGCCACGAAGTGAGCATCCCATTCAGGGATTGGATGGAATTTTTCGGGTTTGGCGTATGGAACTCGGAGAAGGTTCTGAACTTGTCGGGGTTAGCTTCAATTCATTATTCGGTTAAATATAAGCTGAGGAACTTGCCCCCTCATACTCCGAACATGCACTTCTTCGGGTTGAAGCGTATCCTGTACTTTCTGGCCTGCTCGAAGACTTTCCTCAGATGGATCGTGTGATCAGATTCCTCGCGGGATTTCACGATCATATCGTCAATATAGACTTCAAGCATATCCCCGATTTCTCCTTGAAAGACCTTGTTCATCATCCTTTGGTAGGTAGCACCATCGTTTTTCAAGCCGAATGGCATTATGTTATAGTAATAGTTGCCCGATTCAGTCATGAAAGTTGTGTTCCTTTTTTTGCTTTTTGCCATGGGTATTTGGTTATAGCCCGAATACGCGTCCATGAAAGATAACAATTTAAAACCAGCAGAGTTATCAACTAATTTGTCTATGTTTGGGAGGGGATATGTGTCTTTAGAGAAAACCCTATTAATATCGGTATAGTCAATGCATATTTGCCATTTTCCATTATTTTTCTTCACAAGTACAACATTAGACAGCCAAGTAGTGTACTTGGCTTCCGAGATAAATTTTGCCTTTAGGAGGTCTCTTACAGCCTGTTCGGCAGGCTCCATTTTCTCCGGAGACTGCCTTCGTCTATGTTGAGCTACTGCCCTAGCGGCGGGATCGATAGTTAGATGGTGATAGGCCACGTCAGGGTCTAGCCCAGGCATCTCCGCGGCGCTCCACGCGAACAAATTTGCATTCTCCCGGAGGCGGGCTCTTAGCTGTTTCCTCACTAGGTCGGGGAGTCCAGTCCCAATCTTCACTCTCCGCTAAGGGCCATCGTCGAGCAGGGCATGTTCAAACTCTCCATTTGAAATTGGGTGCATCAGCTGAGAAGTTTCGCTGCTACTGGTAGATGTGGAGGGGTTGCTCGAAGATGGTTGGATCTCCTTCCCCTTCCCTTTCTAATTCCTCTGGTCGTCTTAGAAGAAGCGGGTGCCAAGGTCAATGGATTTGACGCGGGGCAGTGACTTTATCTCTTCGGTGCTCCCGGGCAGAGGAGATTTGCTAGAAGTCTTTGGCCTGGCGGCAGTGATGTTCAGCCCTTTGGAGGCTGCCTCGAAACACCTCCTTGTTGTTTCGATATCTCTGTGCAGAGTTGCCACGAGACTCTTTGAAGTGTAACACTTAATCTTTAGGTGCACGGTCAGAGGCACGGCTACTAATTCAGCCAGAGTTGGCCGCCCAAAGATGCATCGGTATAGTGACGGGAAGTCGATGACCAAGAACTGGATTTTGGTAGACCTGGCCGTACCCCTAATGTTTCGTCACCGACCCATTGAAACCCTGTAGATCAAAGCCCACGTAGGGGGTCAGGTGCGATTCGTCCAGCTGGAGAGTAAGGAACAACTGTGAATACATGATATCAACTGAGCTGCCTTGATCGACGAGGATTTGCCGGACGTCAAAGTTGGTCATCTGGGCTCTCACGAGCAGAAGGATGTTGGCATTGGGGGCTCCACCGTGGTGTTCCTCGTGGTAGAAGCAGATGGGAACAGACTCTCCCCAGAACTTGTCAAGGGTGGAGTTTCGGTTCGAGCTGTTGTTGATAAGGTGCTCGAACTTTCTTTTGATGGACCTCACTATAACCTTGTTGAAGCCCCCTTCAAAGATGACCATGGATGAGGGGAAGGTCACCCACGGGTTGTGCGTGGCGAAGTATAGAGGGGCATTGTGCCCCTTGGGGATGTAGAATTCCTCAGACCACGAGATGCTCATGGCGACCTGAAGGCTGGTTTCTTTTGAGGAATCACCTCATCCTCAATCTTCTTGGACTCCTGGGCATCTTGTTGAAGAACATCATTCTTTTTGGCAAACTGCTTTAAGTGTCCGTCCCAGATTAGTATCTCAATGGCATCCTTTAAGTGGATGCAATCGTCAATCATATGGCAATGGCTCTTGTGAAACCGACAATACTTTGACTTGTCAGTATTTGGCTTGAATGGTATTTGTTTAGGGAACGGGACCCCCACTTGCTGGAATTTTGAGTTGGCGCACTCAGAGAGAATCTTTTCTCGAGAGACTATCAGAGGAGTATATTCATGGAACCGGCCGAAAGGCCCTTTGTTGTCTCGGGGCTCCCTGGGGAGATCTTCGCGTCTTATATCTCCCCGACGAAATGTCGAGGGTTCATCAAGCTTGGAGGACCTAGCACTCTTCTGGTGCCTCGAGTCCCGGGAAGAGCTG